TAACATCAACCCCTGATTCTGGTGAAAATACCCAGCGCTAATAAAAAGTAAATTTATACACATGTTTAAGCCAGAATGATTTGAAATTGAATGCATCCACTCTCAAAGCACCTGCAGGCCTCCTCTCTGAGCCTGCCACTTTATATGAGGCTCAGTAAATGACAAAGGGCCTGATAGATGTGCAAAACAAAACAAAACCGACAGAAACGGGACCGATCGGGGCTAAAAAGCTTTCTCTTCATCACTGGAAGTGAAAGGCTTATTCTGATCAGCAGTCTGAGAAATAATCCACCCCCACCCTCTGCCAACACACACAAAGGATGTGGTTCCAACAGAAAACCAAGGAGCTGGCAGGCAACAGCCTGCACTGATGGAGGATCACTGAGGGCCACCTAAATAGAAAATAAAACTAGATTTACATTAGAAACTAAAACAGAAAATCAAGTAAAAGGGTTGAATTTCTGAGGCTGGATGATCTATGTGTACAAGTTCTAGAAAAAGGTGGTAAATCAGTCACTGCAGCTGCTTGAATGTTAAATGAATCAGTTTAGTGACTGAAAACGACCTGCTGCAACTTTTAAAGAGATTTCTAAACAAAAGAGAGAAAAAGAGTCAGAAAGTGTTCAGGGAAACAAAAGCGTAAATCTGGGCTCCTTTGGTTCCGACTCGGTGCTGGGAGTCAAAAAAGAATAAAAAACTAAAAAATAAAAGGTTGTGATGGAGGCAGCGGGTCCAAACAGACACGTTGTTGTTGTTTTCATTGTTCAGGCTGAGCAGCGCCACTTACTTGGATGACCATCCCCTCCACTTCACCAGAAACTCCAACTTTCCCTGAAACAAGAGCCCAAAAAAAATGGAGAAAGGTGAGCGAGGAGCGAAGGAGGAGGAGAGGAAGGAGAACCGCGGAATGAGGAGTAAAAAGATGCGTCACAAAGGCCCACCTTTCGGAGTCGTTTGTTCAAAATGCACTCGGCATCAAAAACCTGCTCTCCCACGGCGCTCAGCTCCTCCATGACTGCCTTCACCCCGAAAACGGAGGCTTGTTCAGCAGCCAATCAGAGGCACGGAGGGACAGCACCGGAAGCGCGGGCGGCGCCTTCAAAATAAAAGAACTCTGTAACAAGAGCCCCGTTCTTAAAGGAAAATTCCGGTTTTTAACACTTTTAGCCCATTTTCTGTAGTGTCCAGGATGAAATCGAATGAT